ACACTACTGTATGCTTGCACAGTAAATTCTCCTTGTCAATTTTACATGATTTTTTTACATGAATAAAATACTCTCAAACACACAACCTGTGAGAAAATCTAGCCATTGTTGTCAGTAAAAACTTTTTTTTCTGCAGGATTGTTGAAATTGAAAAAGTCTTCTGTAAGCTTGCTTCATGTTGGACTTTCCTATTTGACTCACTGGCGCTACTAGTGGTTGGAAGTGGAACTGCAGCCACCATCATTGTTCTTGGGCAAGGAGAGATGAGTGAAAGGACAGGAGCACTTCAGGGGGCCAATCAGATTTCAGATGGGGTCAATGCCCCTGTGGCCCCGCCCCTAGAACTGCCCTTGCATTGCAGGATATAAAGAACTTTGTATTTACTAGATTGTTAACTAATTCTTTGCAAGTTAATATTACCTTAATGGACAGTGGTTTAATTAATGAATCAATTAATAAAGGGACATTGTAAAACTTTGATGCTGCAAGGTTGAAAATTTGGGTGCAACTAAGAAAAACAGTTTGTCACACCGCTGCAACCAGTGCTAAAAGTTAGTCCAGAGCCCTGCGTTGTCATCTTGGAGGACAGAATTTGGTACCAGGCTGTGAAAATATGGAGTTGGCACTGGCTGCTCACGTGCTCACACTAAAGCACCTGACTGGTAGCACCTGAAATGCCAGAAACTCAGAACAAGTGTCAAAAACAGAATAAAGCCGATAATGAAGATTTGGCACGTTTTTCACGAGCTACATGTGATACAATTGGGTTTTTTTTTTCAGATGAGTGTTATTTATTTATTTTTTGATAAATCAGCTGAGAATTAACACCCACACATTTCAGTTCAGGCACAAGGATGAGGGAGAGATTTAACACCTGTAAAACGGTGTGATGTGCAAGGATAAAACCAAGAAAAAGCTGTAGCTGTAGTAAGCTGTAGTTTTTATATTTTGTTTACTGTAGATGCAAATGTGAAGCCATTTAGTTATACTGTGAAAAAGTATAGCAAATGAAAGATGATGTCACTTTTGCTTGCTATGGTTGTAAACAAAGATGTTGCACAATTTGTTAGATGTGTGGTGAAGGACTTTCAGCTTCTGGTACACTGAATTTTAGCTTAATATTTGTAAAATCAACAGAGTCAGAACCATTTCTGTGTTTTCTAAGGTTGATTCACTGACAGCCATTTTAAATTGGGTTGACTCCAGAATTGAATCAGTTGTAGGTGGTAGGTTGCATTCAATCATAGTTTCTGAGAGTTTAATATTCAAAAATCTTTGTCACAAACTGTAGCAAAAAAAATGTCTTTGATCTATTATCGAGGCTCAGACACATTAAAACACATACAACAAATCACTCATGAAACCCCAAACCTCTGTACCTCATAAAATGAACACGATCATAAAATACCTATAAGGTATTTTGCTGACAACCACAAACACAGACGAAGGCAGCCAAATTGTCCGATTTTCATGGCAGCAGGCAAAAAAAAGTTGTCATAGTCGCCAATTTATTGTGCTTAAAATAAAAAAAAGCCCAGTAAAGTACATTTTTGTATGTTTGCTTGTGCAGCATGTATCTTGACATGACGAGTGGCTGAAAGTATGAACACATGCTCCAAGTTGTATCTAAATGAATTCAGGGAAATGTACCGTACTTCTCAGAGAGTTTGTGTCTGATGAGCTCTCCCTGTTGGCATGATTTGGGGCTAAAGCAGAGTCATACACACAATCAAACTAGCACAGAAATGCCTTCTTTGTCCTGTTTATGCACTGTTTTGTTAGTAATGCTGCTCATCAGCTCTGATTTTCTTTTGGGCCCTTGGTTAGATGAGAATCTAAATGGATTCTTGGTCGTTAATTGCTATAAAAATGCAATAACACTTGTTTTGTGTTTATTTGTCTCCTCCAGGCGGTGCTATGCATCCAAGCAGCCTAAACTCTAATGGCTCTTAATAGGCTTTTGGTGAGACATTTATCATAGCGAAGGAATGGTTGTCTTACAATAAATCCCTTTCTGATGGTGCTATTGCCTACATGAGATATAATTTGGATTATTAATGGCGTAGGACTGAAATGTGATGGTTGACCTGTGGTGCGTAGTTAACCTTTTGGAGTAAATCATGTTATAGTTTAGGTCAGATATAATAATAAATAAATGCTCTGTGTAGCTTTGGAAAATCTTTCAATAAAAATGATTTGTTGCAGCATAAGAAAGAGCGTACAAAGTTTAAATCAGTGACATCTGCAATATAATAAAAATACAGCTTGAAACTGAATGTTTACCACTTTTTTAAAGATACAAACAAACCATTCAAGGCAATTAGAGGCCTATAATTCATTGAAAAAATATTTATAATCCAGTTTTGTGTGACCTGGTGAGTTGTGTTAACCCTTGGAGTAAGCATTGGAGATGACCTACAGCTACTACCATACCAAAGCTAGTACTGTAGCTCAGTATCTGTACAACTGGCTCAGTTAAAGACTTTTCAGTTGTGTGAATTCTTATAAAGCACTCGCACAATTGAGATATTTTTTAATTTTGTACGTTTTTCGGCTCATATTACATTACGTATTACATGTTGTTATTTCTATAACTTAWATATCAAAATGTTCAGCTCCTCAGGACATYCCAGTTAGGACTTTTGGTATTTCAGCAATATATACTTTTTGAGATATTCAGCATTTTTGGGAAATTTCTTTTGTCAATGAAAATGAATGGAGGTGTCATCAACATTAAAACCTTTTAAAATGTTCAAAAATCTTTACTGTAGTKATCACTATTCATTCTAGTTCTGCTTTTTTAACTTCTTTGTACTAATTCCAGCTTCCTTTGTCTTCTGTTTTGTTGATTTGAGCGTTTTTCATCTTCTTTAGCAGCTTTCAGCAAACATCTTTCAGCATTGAGCATTCACACTGCATTTTCTTTAGTTGGTTGTTGTTTCCATCTTGAATGAAGCTGAAAGTTATTCAGTTGTAACTCAGTGATTACTTTCTGAGGGTTTCATTAAAGTCAGTTCAGTGGTTCATGAAATATTTTACAAAAACTAACATCGCTGCTTTGCCTTTGGTGGCGTGTGATAATAAACTCGTCTTTACTCAGCCTGTACCTGTGACTTATAACCATGTGTTTAATTTCATGCCTGTCAGAGTGTCACTGTACGCCTGGTGTTAAGTGCACAGTGTGGAGTCTGTCAAAGAGTGACAGTGACTCATTAAGATTGTGATTCAGCTGTGGATTTAGTGAGCTATGTACTAATTCATCTGTGATCTAATTATCAGCTATTTTTTTCTTTCCTGGAAATCCAGTCATTTGCACCGCTGGTGAACTCACATTATCAGTCAGATGCACAACGTCTTGTTTTTCTCTCTCCGTGTTTTTGCTGCTAAGTCTTCAGGGAATTGACCCCCCGCATTTGCTTCTTTGAAAGTCCAGTTCACATGGTGCTGCGCATCCAGCAAATTAGCAAACAGCAAGGGCTCATAATCACTGATAGACTGATAAACAAACCGGCGCTGCAGCGAGTGGACTTGTTTAGAACACAGACACCCGTGACAATTCTTATCTGTCTCCTGAAGCTCAAGTTAATTTGCTTTTTCCCGTAAATGCAGGAAGAGAATGACAGTTTTATGAGCATGTGCAGGAAACAGTGTGAGGGTATCTGCGTGTCTCCTGCAATGTGTCTTGTGTATGTGGACAGTCGAACGACAAGAGAGGAAATTGGATAGTGTGCCGAAAGAACTATCATTTCAAAATGTCCAGCTCTGGAAGGAAATTGCTGTCAGCACTTCTCTGTTTCCTCAGCAGGTGGATGAATTGTTCTTGAACAGAATGTTCACACACCTGACTGTAGAAAGTATTTGATATGTTTGTATCTTTGTAAAGTAAAGGGATACAAAATGCTAAGTAATCTCCCTTGTTTGTGTCTTCATTCCTAGGTGACGTGTTTGCAGGATTTCTTCGGTGATGAGGACATTTTTGTGGCCTGTGGACCAGAGAAGTTCCGCTACCATGATGACCTGATGCTGGATGAAAGTGGTGAGCTGACTCTAGGCAACTGACACAATCCTCCTTCTTTTTCTTACTGTAGAACCAAATCTTTATTTAGAGGGGAAAAATAAAAATAAAAATAGAAAAACAACCTCGTCCGACCATTTTCTGCCATTTATCCGGGGTCGGGTCTYGGGGACAGCAGCCTAAAAAGAGAGACCCAGACTTCCCTCTCCCTAGCCACTTGGACCAGCTCCTCTGGGGGAATCCCAAGGTGTTCCCAGATCAGCCAGGAAACATAGTCCTTCCAGCGTGTCCTGGGTCTTCCCCTGGGTCTCCTCCCAGTGGGACATGCCTGGAACACCTCACCAGGGAGATGTCCAGGAGGCATCCTAACCAGATGAACCACCTCAACTGGCTCCTCTCGACGTGGAGGAGCAGCGGCTCTACTCTGAGTCCCTCCTGGATGACTGAGCTTCTCACCCTATCTCTAAGGGAGAGCCCAGACACCCTGCGGAGGAAACTMATTTCAGCTGCTTCTGTCCGTGCTCTTGTTTTTTCGGTCACTACCCAAAGTTCAGAACCATAGATGAGAGTAGGAATGTAGACCGACTGGTAAACCGAGAGCTTTGCCTTCTGGTTCAGCTCCCGCTTCACCACGACAGACCGGTACAGCGCCTGCATCACTGCAGACGCAGCACCAATCTGCCTGTCGATCTCCTGCTCCATTCTTCCCTCATTCGTGAACAAGACCCCAAAATACTTAAACTCCTTCACTTGGGGCAGGACCTCCTCCCCGACCGGGAGACGGCACCCTACACCTTTTTTAGCTCAAGACTTGAAGTGACATTGTTAGGGGTGTCACCAGTTTTTCTCAAGCTGAATACGAGTTCAATTTGAGAACTCGCCTATACAGAGAACCTAAACATTATACAATGTTTATAAAAACACATTTATTTTACTTAAGACCTGGTACTCAATTGGGTACATATCTGATATCATATCTTTTTCAAAGCGACCTCAATCTGAACCCTCATGTCCCACTTTATCCAACATTTACATCTACGAGTTAGGGGTATATGCATCGATCCAAGTAATAATAATGATGCTAACCTCGAGTCGTGCTGTTTAAATAACTCTACACGTCTTTAGCTACAGAACAGAAATACAGTTGATACATATTTTTAAATTTTTTATTTTATTTTCTATATCCTGAATGAGAGAATTCACAGAAATGTATGATGGTAATGTTGGTGTTGAACTGTATCAATACTAAAGTTACTGGATTGATACTTTAGTTACTGGTAGTTTTGCTTCCAGCACGTTGTTTCGTTCCATTAAAATAAAGCTGCACCAGAGCAGCTGACCAGAGGTTAAAGTGTAACAGTGAACTAAACGATCATGCCAGATGATTATTTAATTAGCTCTGGTTGAACAACAACTTCAGAGTCAACATGCTAACATGTAGCATGATAGCATCTGTATGTACAGTAAACAGCGAGCTGAATGTGACATCACATCATCGGTTCTGGGTATTGGAGCATTTTGAATGAGTAGAAGTACTTGTAAATGCTCATGAGGGCATCATAGACTTTCCTTATAAAAACAGAATCATCCAAAAAGCACATGGAGATTGGAAACCACAGAAAAAAACAATCATTTACTTAAAGAAAAACAGATATTAGAATCCCTTCGGGGTCTGATAGTCTAATTAAATGAAGAACAAGTTATAATTATGTTGAAGCGAAAACTCATTAGAACAGTTTGACGTGACAAAACTCTCAGTGGAAAAGTTATTGCCACGGGCACACAAAGGCAAATAGGATTTCTAAATCTAAACAATTACCACGAGACAGCTATTGTAGTTAATAGCATTCAAGCGGCTTGCCAATCACTTCATAATGTTGCTTTTATTTCCCGACAGACTGCACTCATCTAGTTTGGTTTCCAGTGGACTGTGAAGGCTGTTTAGCTCCTGTTGTTGTTTCCTCTCCATCGTTCCTGTCCGTCCTCTCCTCCACGGCCCACTGAAGATACATCTTGTTCCATCTGTGATCTGCTTCATGTCTGTCCTCTTCCTGCCATTCACAGCTCATCTGTGTTTTTTACTCTCACATGTTTTACTCTTTCTCTCCCATGAATGAGTGTCCTCTGGCTTTTGTCCAAACGTTTATTCGGTTCATTTGTTTCCCCCGGTACCCCACTTTTCCATCGTACCTGAGTCACCAACCTCCTCCCCTTCCTCCCCCTCTGTTTGTCACTGTCCCTCTCTTACCTATTTTTCTTCTTTCAGTCACAAAAAAACCCACACTAAGCAGCCTCCATTAGCCATCTATTGATGATCTTTTTTCTCTTCTGAGAAAATTCACAAAATAAACTCCTACGAAACAAAGCTTAAAGTACCACAGCTCCGTCTGTATTGTCATTAACTACTAATCATTATCTCCATATAATCAAAAAGCAAATCTTCTTCTGATGAGAATGTTCTTTTAGGCTCTGATTTCAGTTTGTTCAGAACGTGAACATAAAAGTAGAGCACGCACACACTGTTGTGTGAGTTGTTGGTTGTGGTTTGTTTTCTTGCAAAAGTTAATACTTTGCCATGACTGGCCAACAATGCTTATCTAGATTTTTTTTAGTTTAGTTTTAATCATTTATTCATTTCATTTAAAAACAAAAAACAATTTTTTTTATACACAACAAAAAATATATCCAAATTGAAATGAAAGGGGGCAGAAAGAAGAAAAATTCTTATAATATCTGCCCCTTTTCTAATTTCAAGCAATAATAATAATCAAGAAACAAAACAAAATAAAAGCTTCAATTCCTTCTCAAACAACAACCTTTGATATGCATTATACAATTTCATTTTTCTTTGACAAACTTATTCTTATCCTTCTCTTAAAGAAATACATTGAACCAACATTTTTATAATCACTTTCCAGATTATTCCACAATCTTATTCCCTGAGCTGAAGTACATTGGTCCTTCAAGTTTGTTCAAATTTTAGGTTTAATAAACATCTCAAGTCCTTTAAGATTATAAGAACTTTCTCTCTTAACAAAATATAACTGGTAGGGGTGCAACGATTCAGAGAATTCATGATTTGGTTCGGTTCAATACTTTAGTCTCACGGTTTGATATTTTTTTGATACAAATAACCAAAATTTCCATGCCCTTTTTAACTTGTAATTTATTGAAATTATTTATGAACATTTGTTTAACCTCAAAAGTACAGTTTTTAAATTAAATTTAAACTTAAATTTTGCTGAAACAGTAAGTTTCTCAGTGGATCTGCACTCAAAAAATACAGCCTAGGTGGAGTAGTCAAACACAGATCATCTGATCCTTCAACACAGAACATCTTCAGAAGACAAGTTTATAAAATAATTTTTAAAAATCTGTTTTGTTTGATACCAGTGTGTTTTGAACCTAAAGCACTGTTCGATACAGTTTGATATGGGTACATGTATTGTTGCACCCCTAATAACTGGATGTTTAAAGGTAATTTTTTATGAGCCTTATACATAATCTGCAAGATAATCAACCAACTAATAAAAGTAATAATTTTAATTTACAAAATAACTTATTCAAAGGGTGACTGTAATGTTTTCTGGTGATAATTCTTATGGCTCTTTTCTGTAAAATGAAAATAGGATTTGTGATTGTTTTATATGCTTTACCCCAGACTTCAACACAACAAATCAAGTGTGGAACAATTATCGTATAATACAATACAAACAGAGCTTTATCATTAAATAACTCCCTTACTTTATACAGTTTATCTTAACCTATATGATCCTTCAAATGCACAAATTGGTTAAAAACATATTTAAAACATATTTTGAGATGGGATTTATCTCAGGGTCTTAAGGGTGCAACATGTTTTAGTCATCTCTGAGAGTATTTTCAGCATCTTCGTGCGTTTGCTTGTTCCGGACTGACTGAGTCATGTTGCTCAGTGCTCTGGGTGGCTCGAACCATCTCGCTGCCCCCCACCCCTTTTTTTTTGAAGATGACTCTTAACAAGCTTAATTCTGTGTCTGTGGTAGAGGTGTGTGTAATGAAACTATTTAAACCTTAACAATAAATATAAAACAAGCAAACAAACGAAACTTGTTGAGTAGTAAGAAGTGGATCAAGTTTAACGATGTCAATCAAAACTGGTTGTTCACATGCAAAAAAGGACCATCAGCCTAACAACTGATTGTTAGAGCCATGATTACTGCTTGTTGTTCACACAAAGCTATACTTACAATAACAACTATGTAATAGGGGGACAATTGGCGAGATCTCTACTCATTAAAAACAGGCATTTTCTCGTCACAAAAATTACTTCCTTCAATGGTTTACACTCATCTACTGGCCAGCAGGTCACTCTTTCAGTGGTGAACTGAACATCCTTGACAGGGAGAAGGAACTTGTTTAGAGGACCTAACTCACTTTTTTTTTATTTTTCTACTTGGATTATTGAGATGAATGAAGACAGTTTAAACCGTGTTACTAAATTCAATAAATAAAGAAATAAAATAGCTTCTCTTTTCAACAGTAAACAGGTGGGAAAGCAGTCAAGGAGGAATCAATGTGCAAAAAATAAAAATAAAAATAAAACAATGAAAAGCATCCGTTTGGACTTTTTGCTCCAACATATATTTCATATATGACTTATATGAAACTGGAAAAGAAAAACCTCACCTCACCCTTTTTCTAACCAGCTAAGATGAAGTTACAATAACGTAAGACATATTTTGTAAATATGTTGATCATTTGTTCAGTTTTAGGTTATAGAATATTTGACAATGATTTAATGTGTTCTTTATTTTTTTCAATCACTTTAGTAGAAAAAAACTTAATATTAGTTTCTTAATTTCTTTATCATCAGTGATTTTTTTAAGTAAAGAGAAAATAGAAAAAGAGGGAAAAGCAAAGAGAAAATGTAATTAGAAAGATTGAAATAGAGATTAGAAGTGTATTAAATACACACCAAGAAAACACAAGGCCACACACCCGACATCTGTCCGCTCACCTGAAAAT